AGAGAGATTTTCTCTGGTCCCAAATTAGAGCCTGTGTTAATGTATATAAAATAGACCAAACCCGGATATAAGAGAAACCCGGATATAAGAGACTTCTTCTCTGGTCCCGACAACTCTCTTATATCCGGGTTACACTGTAGTGTATATTCATACGTTGTAGTCAAAAAGTACATCTGTATTTAAACTTTAAAGTAAACATGATTTTGACAAACATGATATTTTACTTAAATGTATCCAATAATAATGCATGCAATATTCCCATATTAGCATCGTATTATAAAATACAAACAGCAAAGATGCATCTTTTCCATTGTTTTTACGTTATGTTTATCTGTTTTTCATTTGATTGTTTATAGTTGTACGCATTTACGCAACAAGTGTAGCGTTACTAACGATACTAGTTTTATCATTATCTTTTACTTTTATGACTTATTTAAATAGAAGATAGGATAAAGAGATAGAGGAAAGAGGTTAGTCTATTGTAATTTAGTCTCCTAAAAAAACAAACTCGCATGATACACGAGATACATAAAACCATTTTTTATAAGTGGACGTTTGGTGGTTGCACAATATGCGAGATCGCGCGTTATACGGTACATATGTATCGAGATAATAATGGGACAAAAAGTGGAAAGGTTCTTTCGTTTTTTTTTTAACGATGATGTGTTTCGCCAAGATGTGTTAGGTTTAGCGACTTCAGGTGAGCATGAAAGACAAAAAAACTGTGTGTAAGAAGGCAAGGATAACCCGTCGTGATCTTTGTGGTTAAGACAAGCAATAAATTAAATTAACAGTCAGGGAGTTATATGCCATTGGAATTAAGACACCTTTAGTTAATGACCATTTTCGCCTACGAACTTTAATTTTAAAATCGCAGGATTTTTCAACTGTTTATGGTATCAGTTTGTAGTGGAAAGAAAATTTTCTGTTTAATGAAAATAAACATTGAGCGCTCTTTGTCAGTCAGTTAACATATTTCAAATTCTATTAATTTTGTTAATATGACTCGCCTGGATTATACCAACGGATTACTATCTATCTATCTATCTATCTATCTATCTATCTATCTATCTATCTATCTATCTATCTATAGTTTTGAAATGTTCTCAGCTGGACCAATAAGGAATTCTACAGAAAGGAAAAAAAATAATATTTGGTATTTAAGTCAGATTTTATGAAGTGGGTCAGTGTGAAAACTTTTCAGCATTTTCTCGTATATCATCACTAGCAGCAGTTATTGTTAATGTTAGTCCATTGTCAGACCGTCATGGGTATGAAGGTAAAGTAAACTACATTCGCGTCCTGGGTAAGACGATAGCTGCGTCCAACAGCAAGACCCCTGATCAGGAGGTTTTGAGGAGCGTGGAACCACCTCTTAATTGCTGGTGTTCCCAGGTTCACCCTGACCCGGGGTGGTAGCACCTGTTAGGGTTCCTTGCTACGGGTGAATAGTTAACCCTCAAACTGGGGTCAAAATACAATGAAAGTATAAAAATAGGTTTTAATACCAGAAATGTTTTGTAAAAAAAATTATTACCAGCAATAAATCTTTGAAGAAAAATTATTACCATCAATACATTTTGAAAAAAAATATTACCAGCAATACATTTTAAAAAATATTACCAGCAATAAAAATCTTGTCGGCATTAGATAACCCATTGAGGTTGGTATGCCGTAAAACAAAACAAACCAGACCAAATCCATTGCCAGAAAAAATGTCTTTCTCAAACTTCTTCCATAACAACCGTAACTATGCTGTTTTATACCATATCTTACCAACACACTTTTTAAATTCGCAATGTTACTCTCGAACCTTCTTCAGGAGCCTGTCAAATTATTCGGTAACGTTCTCAGAATTTCGAACTGAACTCTTTAGTCAATGTGTTTACATTCCATTTTCCGTGTTAGGGGAGATAACCCGCATTAATTTTCGTTTTTTTTTTTTTTTTTTTTCCCGTGGTGACATTTCTAAAGGAGAAATAACAAATGAATTAATATGAGAAATCACTGAGCGTGGACATCGGGATGAGTACAGAGTGAATAAAGAGTTCCAGTTCAAAATTCTGAAAAATGTTAGCGAATATCACACGCACCTGAAGAAGGCTGATGGTACATTGGTTGAAACGTTGTGATTTTAACAACCAAAATGAGAGAAGGAGTTTGAATAAATCAGTGTATTCTAATGATAATTCCTCATCCCACAAATTCAGACAGAAATGAATTCAACTGGTTTATTACAAAATCAATACCCCCACCCCCGCTTTTTTTACTTGTAACATTTATTCAAATGCCTAATTCGGTTCACTTTCTGATCAGAATGGATTGATTTTTATTCTTTTTGCAATATTTCTTCTTCAGCTGAGCATTAGTACAGCTGTTTCTGTTACTAACAGAAGGCTTTACGTATATCCTACTCTTCAAGTGGATAATACATAATACCTCTTCTATGTGCTGTGTCCCTTCTGAATGTGGGCGATCATGGCTCTCCACAATTTCCTATCCTTTGTAGCTCTTAATAAACTTTGTCTTTTTGTTATTTCTCCTAAACCCTGTTCTACCATCCATTTACTCAAGCTTCTTCTTCTTCTTCTTCTTCTTCTTCTTCTTCTTCTATGTGTCATGTCGCATCAGGACGTTGACGATCAAGGCTCTCCACAATTTCCTGTCCTTTGTAACTCTTAAATTTTTTTTATCTTTTTGTTATTTCTCCTAAACCCTGTTCTACCATACATTTACTCAAGCTCCTTCTTCTATGTGTCATGTCCCTTCAGGGTGCTGACGATCAAGGCTCTCCACAATTTCCTATCCTTTGTAGCTCTTAATAAACTTTGTCTTTTTGTTATTTCTCCTAAACCCGGTTCTACCATCCATTTACTAAGCTTCTTCTTCTTCTTCTTCTTCTTCTTCTTCTTCTATGTGCTGTGTCTCTTAAGGGTGTTGTCGATCGTAGCTCTCCACAATTTCCTGTCCCTTGTAACTCTTAGTAAACTTTGTCTATCTCTCCTGTTCTGTCATCCATCTACTCAAGCTTACTAGGTAGGTTATGCATTCTTTTTCTCTGTCCCTCTTATCTTCAATCTATCCTGTGAGTATTAATTTTTCCAAGCACTCTTTCCTTGTTATGTGTCCTAGAAACTTCATCTATCTCTTTCTGATGTTAAATATAAATGTCCTTTTTGTTTCCATTTTCTCTAAAACTTTGTGTTGCTTACATGTTTGGTCTGTGGTATTCTCAGTATCCTTCTGTAGAATCACATTTCTGTAGCTTTAAGTCTCTTCTTCATCTGTGAGGAGCATTCATTGCTACATAGGAGGACAAGCCAAAATTAATGCAAACATACTCAATATGATAAATACAGCAGAGATTCATCCTTGTAATACACCAAACAATTTTCTTATCATAATTTTATTTGATAGTTATTTCAAATGAGGAACAAAATTATGAGTAAAAGTTTGTTCAAATAAATTAATTAATAAAAAAAATAAAATAAAATGGAAAAATATTGTTTGTTAGAGTGATTCATTGAAGCAGTTATTTTGATTGTATTACAATGCTACAAGTGAGCTTATTATAACTTAAGGAGTTAAGTACTAAATCCTCAAGCCATTGTTAGTAAGTTTGTCCCTTATTTTTATGTGCCAAGTCTTGGTTTGGTTGATTCATTTTCTACAGTTTCTCAACCCTTTGCAGATTATTTAAAATCAATATGTCTAAATTGTAAACAGGGCAACTCAAGGTGGTGGCAACTTGAGCAATCACCCAGGGTTCCATCATGACGCCATGTCATGTGTTTGGGATCTTACAAGATTAAAGCTTATAAGAACATACTTGTGGACATCTATGACTCTAGGCAGATTAAATTCTTTGGCTATTTTGTCTATAGAAAATGATCTTGTAAAGAAGACAGGTGTAGAAAATTCCATGAAAAGATTTGCAGATCTAAAGGCTAGAAAAAAATGTTTTAGGTCGGATAATGAATCAAGGACACATGGCACAGTGGATAAAGGCGTTCGTTAGATCCAGTGACAAGACCCAAAGAGTGTGAGTTCAATAACTGGTTAAGGCAGTGGAGAACTTGGAGAGGGGAATTAACAGGAGATAATTTATCCATCGCACCCTCTATAAAAGAATGTAATGAGAAGAGGGAAACCATTTCTGCCAATGCATTTTGTTCCTGAAGAAACTTTATTAAAGCAAAAACAAGGAACAAAACATATTGGCATAAAAGCTTTTCATTTTGCCATTTCTTTCTGATCAAAAAGTATCAGGACTGTTGCTATGTTCTATATATGAATACTCACTAAATTTATAACTTCCTAGTTCATTTCCATTGTTTACAGCAGTACTTAGAAGGAAACTGTGTAGAGTGTCATCAAGGCCAGTTAAATGTGCTGGCAACTTGGGCAGTCGCCTAAGGCATCATCATGCTGCCCTGTCATATGTTTGGAATCTACCAAAACTAAAGCTTATAAGAACATACTTGCAGACATCTATGACTCTAGACAGATTAAATTCTTTGGCTATTTTGTCTATAGAAAATGATCTTGTAAAGAAGATAGATGTAGAAAGTGCCATGAAAAGTTTTGCAGATCTAAAGGATTGAAAAACATGTTTTAGGTCGGATAATGAATGTTTTCTTTAGCTTGCATTATGTTGTATATTGTAATAAATTTGTTATTCTACATTTTCAGTTTTTCTCCCTGTGAAAATTAAAAAAAGATTATACTTATAAGGGTGTCAAAGTTGAGCTTGCCCAGGGTGCCATCAACCTTGATTGTAAGAATTTTTTTTTGAGTTAATAATGTAATAATAATTTAGAGATACAAATCTTACTAATTAATCCATAACTGTGGGAAGGGTTAGTTCAATGGTGAATTCATACCTTTCTCAAGGATATTTGTGTGTAAGTGAATATAAATGAACCCAACCGGAATTGGAAACTTGGCTCTCTAATTGACAGTTCCAAGCCATTATCCATTACACCACCTGCACATCCAAACTTGCAGCATCTCGTATTCCCAAGTGGTCATCCATCTAGGTACTGACCCAGCTCAATGTTGCTTAACTTTGGTGATCATAAGGAACCAGTGTTTTAATGTGATGTGGCTGTAAGCCCATGTGTCAAGTCCTTTCTGGATGTGGACAATGATGGCTTTTTGTTGCTTGAAAGGACTTTTGACCATTTGGTCAGCCATAATCATCTACTTTTAAAAGATCTGTCTCAAGAGAAGTGGAAAATGCTTATTCTTTTTCAAGATGCCAAGTCAGGATCGATTATATTGCAAATCCTGTTTTGGATTTTGTCAAGAATATTGAGATGAATAGCAGGTTTATAACAAATATGGTAACAGTATTCAATGCATGGCCGAATGTTAGATTTGTAAATGTGCAAGATGGACTCTGATGAGAAAAATCTTCTGGCATGACACAGAAAACCAACTTTCCTTACAGTAGATGCAGCTATTGATTCAATGTAGTTGTTCCACTTCAAGTCAGTTGAAAATGTAAGGCCAAGAAGGCACCGTGAGATGCTCTACTGGAGTTGAGCAACAGCCATGGTCATGGTGGGCAGGGAAGTTTCTCTATGGTGGTTAAATAAGAGTAGTTTAGTTTTGAAGGCATTAAAATTTACAAGCCATTTCCTGGCCCAGTTAACCACTGACTGGAGGTCCTTTTCAAAGCAGCTACCAGGTTAACTTTGTCAGCTCTGATGAATTTGCAATTGAGACAGGAGTGAATGGTAGTGTCATCTGCATAATTGCCTACTTGGGAACTGGTGACATCAGGAAGATATATTGATGAAGATCAGAAACCATGCAGGACCCAGGATAGAGCCTTGGGGGACACTTGCATTCATGTGACGTGGATCTGAAAGTGAACCTGTTCCGAATGATCTTCATTTCACGATTTGATAGGAATGATTGGATTAAATCAAACAATTGTACTGTGATATCATAGCCCTGAAGCTTACATAGAAGACTAGCATGCCAAATATGGAGCCACAGCTTGTGCTTTGTCGTTATTATCAAAATGGCCAGATGTACTGTTCAGATCTGTTGGACTAGTGACTAAGACAGGAGTCAATAGTTGTGTCATTTTCAACATGCGGTGAAAGAAGGTATGTGTGTTTTAAATGTAACAAGGACAGATTAGCTAGCTATCTAAGGTCCCCAGCTAGTTGTGCAAATTTCATATTTCATCTTTGGCTATGTTATGATGTTTGCAACATTGGAGAAGGAACTATGTTAATTTATCAACTCTGATTTTGGTTCAGTTTCCAACTGGTTATATACGCATCTATACATCTGCTTTGAGAAGGGGTCTCTTTATCTCCTTGGCTCGTAGCCTATATCCTAGTTTTGAACATTTTCTGATTGGTTGTTTTTTTTTTTTAGAAATGTTGAAACTTTGGTCTCCTTGATAATATAGTTTATTTCTTTACTTACATCCTGGTGTGAAAGCTTTCTGATTGGTTGGCTGCACTATGGTGTTGTTTGCCTGTCGATTTTTATTATCTGTTTATTTTTAGAGATAGTGAAATTTTTATTTATTTATTTTTCTATCACCATAACATAATATGAATTTTGTAAAATAGTTTCAGAACTTAAATAAAATTCTTAGAAACAATGTTTTGTTAATATATATATATATATATATATATATATATATATATTTATCAGAAATTACATGCATTATATGACTGCTACATTTCTGTAGGTACATCAGTAAGTCTGTAGCCTAAAATGATGTAAACAGAATTTATCTTACACGACAAATATTTTTTAACATAATTTTCCTCCTTACCTCTGTGGGTGTGCAAATATACTTGAAAAATGTATGAATCCATTTCTTTCATTACTTATGGGTTAAATAATCAGACTTGTATTGGTAAAAAAATCATTGAGATTCTCAAAAAATTTACAGGCAAAAAAGAATTATTCTTACAATCCAAAATATATTTGGGCTTTAAATAACCTGAAAAGGATGACTAGGCAATAAAACAAAATCAATCAATCAATCTTTAGATCTTTGTGATTAATGGAGATAGACTGGGTTAAGGGCATTATCAATGCCCTTAACCCAGTGATTCTCCATTAATCACACAGATCTAACATTATAAAGTGAATGTTTCAGAGTAAAGTTCATTTAACGACTCAGTAACAGACTTCGGACTTATTGATCTACTTGCATACTTTTTCTGCTTAAAGGCTGCCGGAAGTCATGAAACTTGAGAACAGGTCATTTCTCTTTAGTGTCTTTACTGTTTGTATCAATGGTTCCCAACCGATTTTGGGCCATGCCCCACTTTGGTATTTCTAAAATTCTGGTGCCCCCCCCCCAATTCTGTAATATTTAATTCTTACATATTCAAAATTTTACTGCAATTCACATAAAGGAATCTTAAAGGCCATTAACTTGGTCTCTAAACAACCTCCAAAGACCATGGCGTCCATGAAAGAGAAAGATTAAAAAAAACAGAAAGACAGTTAAATATATATAGTTTCAAAACATATAATAGAGAACTGAAATGCAAAAATATAAAAATATTTGAATGAAAGTTTATTCTGTAATATACTTTGATCATTTTAATAATGAAATAATAATGCAAAATGAAATTTGAGCTCACTAGAAAACAATTCACTGTTAACTCATTCTCGAATTGCCCCCTTATTCTGTTGGTATAGTAAGCCAAAGGGTGCACACCCTATGCATGCCCCACCAAAATATTACCATGCTCCACCAGTGGGACATGCGGCCCATGTTAGGAATCATTGGTTTATATTATAATTATTTGCAAATAAAGGAGGGGAGACTACTCAGTAATTTGCTGAACTCCAACTGCATTTAAAATTTACTTTTCTTGTATTCAGCAATATTATTGGTCCTGATCTGGTAATTTGGCTTCAGTCTTTTTTCTATTACCATTAAGTTGCCTTCTTCTGCCCTTTTCTATAAATACTTTCATGGTTAGTTGTTCAGATGAGTTTTTTGCTATGGTACCTAGACTTTATGAATTTAAGGGCACTACTAGATTAGCAATAAGGTCTCATCAATTTGCAATTTGAATTGGTAGCTGTAAGTTCTATGCCAACAGTTTCTGTTCTTGCACTTCCCACTTGTGCAAATCTCTTCCAGCTCTATGCTTTATAGTCAATCTTCAAAAATTTAAATGCAATCTGAGTCAATATCTACTGTCCTCCTGATTACTCTTCTTTTGGTCTTGGTCTTTAGTATCGTTCTGTTTTCTAATTCTTTCACATCCTGTAAGCCCTCATATCATTCATTAGTAAGATATTCTTTTGAAATTAGACAAGTACAAATAGAGAAAAATATATAACATTTCTTGCTTTAGTGTCGTAAAAAGCAAGAAAAGCTAACCGTTTTAATAACAATATCTTTTTTATTAAAAAAATATAAACGAATCCTTTCCTATTCACATTTCATTCATCCTTGTGTGAATTATATGAATTCTTGTGGCTTAATGTCCGAATTTATCTCAGTTACTGGGAAGGCATCTGGCTAGTTACAAAAATGACATGTAATGAAAAAAATGTCATTTTTCGACAGTCAGCACATTTACTGTTACAATTTAAACAGCCAATGAAGTTCCTGTCTGAATTTCTGGGATGAGCAGTTATTATTATTTACATCATTTACATTTGGACTATTGTCCTCATCTTTATTGTTATTATCATCTGATTGCATTCTATCTGAATTTTTGAAATGAGACGTTAACATTATTTACATTTGGACTATTGTCCTCATCTTTATTGCTATTATCACCTGATTGCATTCTATGTGAATTTTTGGGACGAGAAGTTATTATTATTTACATCATTTACATTTGGACTATTGTCCTCATCTTTATTGCTATTATCACCTGAGTGCATTCTATCTGAATTTTTGGGACGAGAAGTTATTATTATTTACATCATTTACATTTGGACTATTGTCCTCATCTTTATTGCTATTATCACCTGATCGCATTCTATCTGAATTTTTGGGACGAGAAGTTATTATTATTTACATCATTTACATTTGGACTATTGTCCTCATCTTTATTGCTATTATCACCTGAGTGCATTCTATCTGAATTTTTGGGACGAGAAGTTATTATTATTTACATCATTTACATTTGGACTATTGTCCTCATCTTTATTGCTATTATCACCTGATCGCATTCTATCTGGATTTTTGGGACGAGAAGTTATTATTATTTACATCATTTACATTTGGACTATTGTCCTCATCTTTATTGCTATTATCACCTGAGTGCATTCTATCTGAATTTTGGGACGAGAAGTTATTATTATTTACATCATTTACATTTGGACTATTGTCCTCATCTTTATTGCTATTATCACCTGATCGCATTCTATCTGAATTTTTGGGACGAGAAGTTATTATTATTTACATCATTTACATTTGGACTATTGTCCTCATCTTTATTGCTATTATCACCTGAGTGCATTCTATCTGAATTTTTGGGACGAGAAGTTATTATTATTTACATCATTTACATTTGGACTATTGTCCTCATCTTTATTGCTATTATCACCTGAGTGCATTCTATCTGAATTTTTGGGACGAGAAGTTATTATTATTTACATCATTTACATTTGGACTATTGTCCTCATCTTTATTGCTATTATCACCTGATCGCATTCTATCTGAATTTTTGGGACGAGAAGTTATTATTATTTACATCATTTACATTTGGACTATTGTCCTCATCTTTATTGCTATTATCACCTGATCGCATTCTATCTGAATTTTTGGGACGAGAAGTTATTATTATTTACATCATTTACATTTGGACTATTGTCCTCATCTTTATTGCTATTATCACCTGATTGCATTCTATCTGAATTTTTGGGACGAGAAGTTATTATTATTTACATCATTTACATTTGGACTATTGTCCTCATCTTTATTGCTATTATCACCTGAGTGCATTCTATCTGAATTTTTGGGACGAGAAGTTATTATTATTTACATCATTTACATTTGGACTATTGTCCTCATCTTTATTGCTATTATCACCTGATTGCATTCTATCTGAATTTTTGGGACGAAAAGTTATTATTATTTACATCATTTACATT